GCCCCCTCCCCCCCCCCCTCCAGTGCTCCCAATTTGCTCAACAGATCTTGAGCCTATAGGAGCTCTTCTTTCTTTTTCTTTTTCTTTATTTTTTTCTGAGTTGAGGTTTATCTCTGTACCTTTGATGTCCCGAAACTTGCTCTCCAGGCCACGTTGGGCTGGAACACAGAGATCCACCATCCTCTGACTCTTGTGTGCGGGGATTAAAAGTCATATCCACTTCCATCACTCTAGCAAACGTAGCTTGAAAGACTCCAAACTTGCAAGTTAACAGACTGCTAGAGGCATGGCACCACCCCTCTGAGCACACTGCGCAGGCCCAAGAATCCCATGGCGCATAGATAATGCCAAAGGAGTCGAGGGGGTAGAATGATTTTTTTTCCCCCGAGATAAGGGACGGGTTTCTCTGTGTAAGAGCCCTGGCGAACCTAGAACTCTCTGGAGTCCAAGCTGTCCTTAGACGCACATGTCTCTGCCCCCCGACTGCTGAGAGGGAAGCTTTGTGCCGCCACCGAGCAGGATCCAAGTCTTATTTTAAAAGTGAGTTTTTATTTTTTTGTTCCTCCTTTTCATTTAATATGTATGAGTGATTTTACCTACTTGTATGTGAGACACGTATGCTGTGAGACACAGATACTGTAACTGTGGAAGTCAGAAGAGGCCTTTGTATTCCCCAGAACTGGAGTGTCAGACTTGTGAGCCACCGTGTGAGTGCAGGGACTCTAACCCTAGACCTCAGAAAGGGCCCTGAATTTTCACTATGTGTGTCTCAGACATTGGACTCAGGTCATGAAATTGGCAGCCACACTTTTACCCACTGGTCCCTTTCAATGGCTCAAAAAGGGCAGAGTTTTTTCATTTTGTAATGAGGTGTTGGATATTGAGGGTGTTTTTGTTTGGTTGCTTGCTTTTTTCTTGTTGTATTCACGCAACATTCTCATGCAGATCAGGCTGCTTTTCTATGCCTTATGGCGCCAATTGTAAACGTCTTCCTTTTTTTTTTTTTTTTTTTGGTTTTTTTGAGCAATTGTAAATTTCTTGTCATGATCTTTCTGTCTCAACTTATCAAGGGAAATGTGGTACACTCCTGAAATGCCAGCATTCTGGATGCTAAGGCAGGAAGATCAAGAATTTTCTTCCCGCCAAGCAAGTGGTGCACACCTTGAACCCCTCAGGCGAATCCAAGGGGATTTCTCTGAGTTCCAGGCCACTGTGCTCTACAGAATTGTTCCAGGACATCCACGGCTGTTACACAGAGAAACCCTGTCTCAAAAAAGAAAACAGCCCTTCATTTAATAGCATACCTAAAATGGCCTATCTGAGGAGGTCAGAGGACCACTTGCCAAAGTTAGATCTCTCCTTCCAGCCAGGCTTTGACCTCAAGTGAGGCTTGGAGGGCAGGAATGCAGGTATTAAGGGAAGGCTGCCTCAGTTTCCCAAATGCCAGGATTAAGGTGAGATCACTATTCCCTTCTTTGATAAAGTTGAGTTTCTAGAAGAACCACTCAAGTGGTTGATGACCCTTCCATCATGTAAATGAAGACATTAACTTCCAAGGACCAGATGCCCTTTAAAACTCTTAACACTTCTAGATTTAATTGATGGATATCAAATGATCCTTATTTAGAAAAAAAAATGATTTTAAACAAGAATGTCCCCTCTCCCAAATGACCTCTATTGTGCCTATTACGTAGAGTTAGTAATTGTTTCTATTATCTTTGAGACCTTCTCTCAGACCAGGATGGATGGGTTGAAATTCACTAAGTAGCCCAGGCTGGCCTTGAACTCGGTCCTCCCAAATGCAGACATGAGAGGTATGTTGACCACACCTGACCCTTTTAACAATGACTGTAGGCAGGATGTGCAGGGTGTGGCGGTACACACCTCTAACTCATCCCTTGGAGGCAGGAAGATTAAAGTCCAAGCCCAGGCCAAGATAGAACTTTGTGTTACTTTCCTTATCAGGTATATGTGAGATCCTCCATTTGATCCCAGTACTCCACAACACAGACACAGCAAACAAAAACTTCTTATCAGGACACAACATCATGTCAAGAGACATTCAAAAGGAGGTGGCATAGTGGGAGACTCCCATACTCCCTGCCTTTGAGTGAAGAAGCAGGCAACTCTGAGGTAAAACCACTCTCTCGTCTGTAGCAAATTGCAGCCCGAGCTACATGAGACCTTCTCTCAACAGGAGACTGGAGGGGACAGGCAGGAGACATACTGTATGAGGTATTGGTCGTCAAACCACATGACTACAGTTCAGAGAGACTGGGGTGCATCTGTCCACTTACACTCGTTTTTTTATATGTAAAAAAGGAAAGGAGCTGAACTCATACCAAGCCATGAGGCAGGGTAACATTCCACAAAGTTGTCCCCACATCTCCCCACAAACATCATGGTGCACACACAAATAATATTAATATTTGTAATTAATCTGTTAGCAAGAGGCTACCCGGGTTTATAGGGTGAGATCAAAGACACTCAACACTCCACAGGAAAATGTACTATAGGAAAAAACTACACCTTTACCCATTGCTCCATTTCACTAGTCCAAAAAGAGCATAGTTTTTAATTTTGTGTTTTTATACTGAGTGAAGTTTTGGGGGTTGTTTTTGTTTTGTTGCTTGCTGTTTTGCTTTTTGAGTTCACACAACACAATCAACAATCCAGGCTTCCTCTCTACTCCCTAAGTTGCCAATTCTAACCTACTAGTCATGATCGTCCAGTCTCAGCTCTCAAGGGAATTGTGGTGGTTCATTCCTGAAATGCCAGCACTCTGGATGCTAAGGCAGGAGATCAAAAATTTTATTCTCCAGCCAAGCGGCGCTGTACAGGGCCAAGTGGAGCCCAGTTGCCACTGCTTTATTTATTTTAACTGGCTGCAAGCCTATTTTGAATTGGGTTTTATTATTGTTGATGCAGCCTGAGCTCCATGACACCCTCTGTCAACAAGAGAATAGAGGAAATAGTATATAAAGGCATTTGTCATCAAACCTCATGAGTAGAGTTCATATCCAGAACACACAAGCTGGAGAGACCTGGGCACATGCATGTGTCCATGTATGCACATATTTATACATGCAAGAAGCAAAGGAGGGGAAAACAGGGTTGGTAAGGTGTTTCAGCGGGTTAAGTGTTTTTAGGACAAGCCTAATTCAATTCCCTGCAGTTATAGCAAGTGCCGAGGAAGGAGGAAAACATTCCACAAAATTATCCGGAGACTTCAATACAGGGTGCACCCTGACAGAAATAATATTAACAATTAAAATTAATCTGTGAGTTGGAGGCCAGCCTAGTCCACAGTGTGAGGTTCAGGACAGCCAAAGCTACACAGAGAAACCCTGTCTCAAAAAAAAAATTGAAATTAACAGCTTGAGAGATGGCTCAATGATTTAGATCACTTGCTGCTTTTACAAAGAGCTCTTCACCCATGTTGTCCAAAATCCTCTCGTGGCCTCAGGGACACCAAGCACTTATGCGTGTGGTACACAGACATACAGAAAGGCAAAACACATTCACATAATATAAAGTATTTTTTCAATAGTACACTTCACGTTTAAAATAGTAAGTTTAACTAAAGTATAAGTTTGCATCAAGCAATGCTGAGTGTCAAAGGTCAGGAGAGAGAAGGGGAAGAGAAATCTTTGGGAGGCAAGAACAAGAAAGCAATCTGCGAAATCAGACCTTGTTGTCCATTCTCAGAGGCTGAGAAACTGACCAAAATCTCTGGTTACAGAGGTTGGTACGGGTGGAGACCCAAATTAGGTTAAGCTCTTTAAAAATTCTGCGTTCTATTTATCTTATTTATAAAGACAAAAAAAATACCTCATGAAAACAGGGTTCTATCAAGAATTGACTATAAGAGTCCTTTTCTTTAATCTTCTTGTTTTTTTTTTTTTTTGTTGTTGTTTTTTGTTGTTTTTTTTTTCCCGAGGCAGCGTTTATCTGTGTAGCTTTGAATGTCCCGGAACTTGCTCTCCCTACACAGATTGGCCTGGTTTACCGAAACTGCAAAATCTTAGTCCCGAAGCGGTAACTCCTGTTATAAATTCCATGTTCTTCCTTTCCAAAGAAATAGTGTTTCCTTCCTTGTCAAACTTTCTCACAAGGAATGCTTCCATCACTCTAGCAAATGTAGTTTGCAAAGTTCCAAACTTGCGAGTAACTGGATGGCAGTCGCTTGGCGCCACTGCTCGCTCTGACCACACCGTGCAGGCGCATGTCCCATGGCACATGGCCATGGATAATGGGGGAGGGGAGACGAGATTGACTTTTTGTTTTGTTTTTTGCTTTTTCAAGACAAGAGACAGGGGTTCTCTGTGTAACGGCCCTGGCTGACCTAGAACTCTCTGAATGTTTTGACTGCATGTATTTTTGCACAAGCCTGGTGCTTGCTCTGGGTGGATGCTAGCCACCGTGTTGCTGCCTGGAAACAAAGTTTCCTCCTTTGCAAAAGCAATCATTGTTTGTTTTTAGTATGGAATGCTTCACAAATTTGTGTGTCATCTTTTCCCAAGGGCCGTGCTAGTCTTCTCTGTATCATTCCAATGTTAGTCTATGTGCTGCCAAAGCGAGCGTGCAAACATTTATCTTAAACAAGGAACCATCCCCTGGGCACATACTGCTTGGGGACCAGTCCATATAGGAACCAACAAGGTCTCCTAAAGTTTGCTGCTGCCTCTGGAGTCACTCCAGGTGCTGGCTGTTTCAAGCCCGGAACCTTCACTAACTGGGTACCAACAGCTTTCAGGGAGCCATGTTTCTGGAGGTGACAGATCCCAGGGATGACCACCAGCTCCTTACAGAGGCATCTTATCTCAAACTTCCCACCATTTTTCTGGTTAACAGAGCTTCTCCTTCGGGCTGTGTGCGACAAGGGATTTCATTTGGTTGACATGATGTATTGCATGCTGGCACAGGAAGTTCTCTGGTGCCTGGCACCATTTCCCATGGGCACCCACGGGAAGTTAGCAATGGAATGTTAACAGCAGTGGTGGGCAGTCACCTCCCCTTCTCTAAGAGCCGGGGATCAGGAATCAGCCACAGCCTTCCTGATGTAAGGAGTTAAATTTTTCTTTACCATTAGAAGTTCCCCTTTCAGGGTCCAAGCTTTCAAACTTTTATTAATTTTAATTTTTGGTTCCTCAATGTTGTTATTACTATTTGTTTTGTTCTTGGTTTTTGTTTTTTCAAGGCAGGGTTTCTCGGAATAGCCCTGGCTGTCCTGGAACTCCCTCTGTCGACCAGGTGGGTCTCAAACTCAGAGATCCACCTGCCTATGCCGCGTCCTGGGATTAAAACATGCACCACCATGCGCTGGCTTTGTGCCTGATAACTTTATAATCTCCATTAGAACAGAGCAATTATTCTGGGAGGTGAGGTTGCCTTGTTGTTTTTTCATTCATTCATTCATTCATTCATTCATTCCCTCATTCATTCATTTTTTATTTTTAGACAGGCTTTCTTTGTATAACAGCCCAGGCTGTCCCTAAACTTGCTCTGTATACCAGGATGGCCTCAAAATCACAGATCTCCTCCCAAGTGCTGAGAGTGAAGGTGTGTGCCACCACAACTGATGGGTGAGTTTTCCATTTTAATTCCCTGTATTTGTCTAAACTTTCCAACTTGCCCTCGGCATTCTGACAGCTATTCTTTATTGTTTATTTGTTTTTCTTTAAATTAGAAACAAGCCTGTTTTACATGTCAATCCCAGTTCCCTCCCCCCCCATCCCCCTATCCCATCCCCAGGGAGGATGAGACCTTCCATGGGGGAATCTTCAAAGTCTGTCATAGCATTTGGAGCAGGGTCTAGACCCTCCCCCATGTGTCTAGGCTGAGAGAGTTTCCCTCTATGTGGAATGGGCTCCTAAAGTCCATTTGTGCACTAGGGATAAATACTGACCCACTATTAGAGGCCCCATAGATCGCCCAGACCTCCAAACTGACATCCAAGTTCAGGGGGGCTATACTGGTTTCCTAGCTATCAGTCTGGGTCCATGAGCTTCCCCTTGTTTCTTTTCTTTTTTTTTCTGTTTTTTTGTTTTGTTTTGTTTTGTTTTTGTTTTTTCGAGACAGGGTTTCTCTGTGTAGCTTTGGAGGCTGTCCAGGCAGTTGCTCTGGAGACCAGGCTGGACTCGAACTCACAGAGATCCGCCTGCCTCTGCCTCCCGAGTGCTGGGATTAAAGGCGTGCGCCACCAACGCCCGGCTGAGGGTGAGTATTTGATCTTAAAGAAAACATGGGACTGAAGATGTGACTCAGCAGTTAAGAGCACTGGCTGCTCTTCCAGAGGACCGAAGTTCAATTCCCAGCACCCACATGGCAGCTCACAACTGACTGTAACTCCAAGATCTGACACCCTCACACAGACATGCATGCAGGCAAAATACCGGTGAAAATAAAATAAAAATATATAAATCTTAAGAAAAAGAAAAAGTAAAAAGAATGTGTGAGATTGTGCCTAAGTGGCACAGGCCATTCACCAGAGCCCTCAGAGGGGAGGCAGATCTTTGAGGTCAATGCCGGTCTCCTGCCCAAGCCAGGTTCAGCCTGCCCACACAAGGCTTCAAGCAGAGGGAGACACTGCCTCAAAAAGCTGCAGTGTGTTTAATAGGAGAGAAAGATGACTCCGGGAGTGGAAATCGGGAAATGAGGCCTGTGTAAGGCATTTGGGGTGTAACCCAGCAATGTAGCCTGGCTTAGCACGCTCCATCGCCGGGGTTCTGAGATCACACCGAGAACAAAGGTAGGGAAGGTTTTAGGTCTCAGGGTGGAACGAGGAAGAGGATGCCGCCTGGGGGGAGCAGGAGGTTGGTCACAGAGTCTCTGTTTTCCAATGACAAGATCCCAGATGCCCTAAACCATCCAGGCGAGTAAGGATTATTAGCTGTCTGTGGGTTGTCCCATGGTGAAGCCGGTGGGTCATAAGGTGAAAGCCATGTGGGTTAACTTACACAGTGAGACCCCGTGTCAAAATAAGTTTGAACACCAAAGCTACTGTTGTATAGCTTTCAAGGAGATGTGGGTTCAATACTCTGTCCCAGACGTTGATAAAAAAAAAAAATCTGTTATATTTAGACTTGATCTTAACAAAAATATGCTTTTCAATTCCAGACGCTGGAGTCATGAGGGACAAGAACTCAGCGAGGGACACTCAGTCTCAAAGACACTTTCTGTTCACAGGTCCCAGAAGTGCCATGCCAGCTGAGTGCCCCTGGCTGAGGCTGGCCTTCCAGGATCATGGTGACCTGCGTGCGCCACCTGCTGTCCTTCCAGGACATCGCGGGTAAAGGAAACATTGAGACAGGGGGCAGCTTTGGGATTAAAGGCTTGGGCCACCAACGCCGGGCGCAGATGATTTTCTGCGTTTCCTTTTTTTGTTTTTGGTTTTGGTTTTGGTTCTGTATTTACAGATTTACAGAGACTGATATTGAGAAATAGGTGCCGTGCACCTGGAATGTGAGGTGACAACTTCGGAGTCATTGATAGTGACGTCTACGGATTTAATCAGGTCACGAGGTGGGTGTTTGGTTCCTCCCAGCTATATTCCTGGTACTGCAAATGAAAAGGCAAGGTCTCCTTAATCTTCCCAGTGTAGCCTCAGAGTCAACCCTCTCTCTTCTGCTGAGATCTAGAGTTCCAGGCTGTACCACCAATCAGCAATCTCCATACATAGTTTAGTGTTTCTCCTCCATGTTTTTCTTTTTTGTGTGAATGTGTATGATGGTGTTTTGCCTGCACAGACACATGAGGAACACATGTGTGCCTGGTTCCCAAAAGTGTCATATCAGGGTAACAGGTCCCTTTGAAATCACTTTCTGGGAGGAGGTGAGCTATCACAGGGATGCTAGGACTACAAGGTTCTCTGCACAAAGCATAACTGCTCTAAGCTACTGAGTCATCTCCCCAGTTCCCAGTGTTTTCTGTCAGTTGGATTTAAGTTTTGCTTGCTTTTTTTTTTCTTTTCTTCCCCCTTGGTTTTTTCTAGATCTGTAGATCCGGTTGGCATAGAACTCACAGAGATCTGCCTGTCTGTGCTGGCATTAAAGGCATGCTCCATCACTGCCCGGTTACATTCTTTTGTTATGCTGCTGTTTTCCTTGTTCTCTGTTGTTGGCCACACTGGCCCTGGTGTCCTGGGGATCCTCCTGCCTCATGGAAATGCTGAGACCAGGCATGAGTCACTCCTCCCAACAGTTAGTCTTCAAAGAGCCTGTTTTCTATAGTGGGAGCTTTGCATCAAGTCTTCAGACCACCCTCAGGTTGGTAGGAGGTGATTTTCCTGACTGCACCCTAACCATCTTTTTTGTTTTGTTTTGTTTTGTTTTTGTTTTCAAGACAGGGTACCCCTAACCCATCTTCTATGAACCCCAGCCATGTAGCTTTAATTAAATCCATGTACTTCTCCATTCTCCTCATTTCAGGTTGTCATTTGAGAGTGAGGAGGGAGAGGGGGATGGGAGAAAGAGGCACCAACAGCTGAGGCACCACCAGCTGCCCAAAGGTCTTGGTCAATTTCCTACTCTTGTGATGGAGGAAACTGAAGGAGGGAAGCCTTCCTGACATTTCCCAACACTCGGGACACACAAGAGGGTGCTATACTGTTGGTCAGAGGTGGAGAACAGAGGACCCAGTGCAGGTGAACACAAGGCCATGAGGTTATTGGGGGTTGCAAAGATTTTTTGTTTTGTTGTTAAGTGTGAAGGTGCTTTGACTGTATCTCTGTACCTTGCGCTGGCCTGAGGCCTTGTATCCCATGGACCTATGGTTGCAGTGAGCACCTGATTGGTGTGCTGGGAACAGAACCATGCAGCAGCCAGGTGCACTGCTCCCCAGTGACTGGACTCTTTGGATAGAAATACTCACGGCTTGTTGATAGGATGTGTTTGGATGTATTTTGGAAGGCCACCAACTCGGAGCTCGTGCTGGACCGGGGAACACAGCTCAGCTGAGGAGAGCGCTTGCTTGCATGTCAGGAATGAGGCTGCGGGTTCCATCCCCAGTTCTTTCCCAGTGTGTGCTCATGTGTACAACACATGCAGGTATATGGATACCAGTGACTGGAGAAGCAGAGGCAGGGGGATGACCAGGAGTTACATGCCAGCCAGAACTACAAACTGAGGTCAGATTTAAAGGAAAATGCATTGAAGATTCTGGTGGCCATTGCCTTGTTTGCCACAGCATAGAAACGGTGATTGTGTTCAGTTAGTGCTCAGCGGTGCCTGTGGCAAAGGGGCTGCCAGGCAGAGTTGCAAAAGCATCTCCCTGGGAAGGGAAGGATGGTGGCCTGGTTGAGGCCTGGGTATCCAGTCCTCAGTACTGGTACAGATCCCCAGTTGGGCCCTGTAAAACTGCCCCTGCCTCCACGAGGGAGGGTCAAGAATTTCAAGACCACTTGGGGCTATACAGGGTGTTTGAGGGCAGCCTGAGCATAAGACCACCCTGATTTTCAATAGAGTAAGACATGGGCTGTGCCTAATTGTCACAGCTCTATAATCACAGCGTTCAAGACGGGAGGTAGAAGAAGGCAGAACTCTGAGGTCAAGACACATATGGGCCCCAAATTCAGTTTTAG